AACACTCTCTGCTGTTTCCTCCTCCGTCTTCCTTCCTCCCGCTGTCTTCGTTGGTTCATTTATACACGCGAAACGCGTTCTCTGGCTGGCTGGATTGTCCACTCGGTCTGCCGTACATACATGGCGGCGCAAGATGGCGACCTCTCTAAAGCAAGGCCCTTGCTATATATATATATAAAAGCATAATTACGAAAACCAAACGAATTTTATTTTATAGCGATTATACACTTGTATAAACATATTAATGGGTAGAATATTCAGATTCAGATTCAGATTGACAATAAACCATGCCAAATATTACACACTGGCCCTTTAAGGAGTCTTCAGGATAAGAGAGTAACTCAGGAATCTGAGCCAAGTCCTCAACGAGGGTGTGTCTCAAGCCTGTTGTAGACAGGTGGTTCCAGATGTAAAAAGCGGATTCAGTGTTCTGTAGTTAATGACAAATGCACTCAGTACTGTTTAATTGCGGTCGGTTTATTTAAAATTCAATGTAATAGAAAAACATCATCACAAATTGAACACCTTTTCAATTATTACTGTACTTATGAATAAAACCAATGTCTTGTAGGTCTCAATCAAGTGAAAAAAATAAACATACAAAGACGTGATATGAATTACTAAACCCAACTGTTTTGAAACTGATATCTATTGTCAAATCTTTATTACATAAAACAGAGTTTGTATGTCTTATGAATTTTCAGTACACATCTATTACAAGAGTCACATTTTGCTCCTGGATGCACTTCTGGTTTGGCCATTTCCTGCTGTTTCCTAATAAAGACCATTTTGATTTCAAATTTAGGAAATACCTTCACCTGTGAAGGTGATGACTAAACTATAGTTGATCCATTACTTGATTCCAGTTTAACCTTTTTGAAAATGTGTTTTTTTTATTTTTTTATGTTAGTACTGCCATCAGCTATCTAACAATAGCAGAAATTAAGTTAATGGTGAGAAACTGAATCTCTGAATACTAGGGATTCTTGGCACCTGCGTGCTGACGTACTGCGGTGAGCGTTGTGTCATTTCCAATGTTTCTGTGATAGCGCCTCTGTGCTGCTGTAGCGAACTCTTACCAGCTAGTTTTCTGATTTTCCTCATTTCAGCTGCTAAACATCTACCTCATGTCTAAACACACTAGTTCTGTTTAAGCACTCAAAGCTCTCCTCTTTTTTTCAACGACTTTCTTGTTAATCTTAGCTATTGTTTACATGCTATTCGCATTGTTAGCTATGTAAGCTTAGCACCTAGCGATGGCTTCTCCATCTGCTGCTCTCTCTTGCTCGGTGTGCCAAATGTTTCGTTATTGCTCTGCCTCCTTTAGCGACAGTGGTACATGTAACAAATGTAGAAATGTAGTTTATTTGCTGCGTTGGAGGCGAGGCTTAGTGAATTGGAAGCGTGGCTCTGCACCATTGAAAATCACTCAGTGGCTGTAGTAGTTAGCCAGCTCCCTGTAGCCGGTGCGGAGCCACATAGCATAGCTTCTGCTAGCGGTCCTCTGGTAACCCCTGTGCAGCTGGCTAACTGTACGAGAGAAGCATCTTACTAAGCCAAAGCCCTCAGTTCACCACCAGCCTGTTCACTTTTCCAACCATTTCTCCCCACTCAGTGGCACACCCACTAAGGAGAAAACTCTGGTCATTGGCAGCTCTATTCTGAGAAATGTGACGTTAGCAACACCTGCGACCACAGTCAAATGTATCTCTGGGGCCAGAGCGGGCGACACAGAATCAAATATAAAACTGCTGGCTTAGGCTAAACATAGATTTAGTAAGATTGTTATTGATGTTGGCAGTAATGACACCCGGTTATGCCAATCGGAGGTCACTTAAATTAATGTTGCCTCAGTGTGTGAATATGCAAAAGATGTTTAGAGATGCTGGCTGTCCAGGTGGTGTAGGCTTCATAAATAATTGGCAAACTTTCTGGGGAAAACCTGGCCTGATTAGGAGAGACGGCATTCATCCCACTTTGGATGGAGCCACTCTCACCTCTAGGAACCTGTCCAAGTTTATTAGTCATTCAAAACCCTGACAACCCAGAGTTTAGACAAGGAATCAGAGTCGCTGTCTTAAACGTTTCTCTGAGCTTCTAATGCAGTTACCCACCCACAGAGTTATACAAATGTGTCTGGCCCTCGACCACCTAAATTATTTAAATCTAAACTTAAACAAAGAGGAGTTGTAAATAACAACCTAATAAAAATGAAAACCTCTTTTGTAACAGAAAGACAAAACAGGAGAATTAAATGTGGACTGTTAAATATCAGGTCTCTGTCATCTAAAGCAGTGTTAGTAAATCAGATAATCATATTTATTTACTCAGCCACACTGAAACCTGGCTGTGTCACGATGAATATGTCAGTCGAAATGAATCCCCTCCTCCCAGTCATAATAATACCCACATTCCTCGAGGCAACAGTTGCAGCGATTTTTGACTTTACTCTATTAATCAACCCTAAACCTAAACTAAATTATAATTTCTTTGAAAGCCTTGTCTTTAGTCTTTTACATCCAATCTGGAGAACCTCATAGCCACTTTTATTTGTTATAGTGTACCGTTCTCCTGGCCCTCCTGGCCTGGTTTTTATCCAGTTTAGTTCTTAAATCAGATAAAGTCATTACTGTCGGTGATTTTAATATTCATGTTGATGTTGATAATGACTGCCTCGCTACTGTGTTTATCACATTATTAGACTCCATTGGCTTCAGTCAGAGTGTACATAAACCCACTCACTGTTTTAACCACACTCTTGATCTAGTTCTGACGTATGGAATGGAAATTGAAAACTTAGTCTTTCCACAGAATCCCTCTCTATCAGATCATTACTTAATAACTTTTGATTTCTTTCTACTCGATTACATGCCACTCAGGAACAGTTACTTTACTAGGTGTTTACCAGACAGTGTTGTAGCAAAATTTAAGGAAATGATTCCATCAATGTTAAATTTAATACCATGTCCCTCTATAACAGAGTTTTCCTGTACTGACTTTAAACTCACAGGCGGAAATCACAGGTGGGACAGGGGGTCCGGACCCCCCCTTCTTTGGAAAAACGGGGAATTGCCCCCCCCCCCCCCAATATATCATTTAGGGAAACTATATGTAACCTAGGTTATTTTCAGTAGTTTTGTAGTTTACATACTTTCGATTTTCCCTTGTACACATAGTGAGCAAGGTAGACACCCTAAGTGGCTGTGCAAAGCAAATTTATTATGTTGATCTGTTCTGTACGACATCTATTGCACGTCTGTCCGTCCTGGAAGAGGGATCCCTCCTCAGTTGCTCTTCCTGAGGTTTCTACCGTTTTTTTCCCTCGTTAAATGTTTTTTTCAGGGGAGTTTTTCATTATCTGCTGGGAGGGTCCAAAGGACAGAGGAATGTCATATGCTGTAAAGCCCTCTAAGGCAAATTGTGACTTGTGATATAGGGCTGATGATTGATTGATTGATTGATTGATTGATTGATTGGGAAAGAGAATAAAAACAAACTGGTGAAAGCACTTGTTTTTTTGGCAATATCATCCCAACCCATTTAAGAACTCAGGATGTCCATGCAGTTTCCCTTCTCCCCACCCAATACACTGCTGATTCTATATAAAGTATATAAGAATGTCTTTGTATCCTGAGGTCAGTGCTGAAGTGATCACTCTCAAAGTGTTGACAGCACAAACATGAAGCCTTGTAAGGAGTCTGGTTCTGTCTTCTCACGCTGACCATCCACTGGTCCAGCCTGTCTGCATCACCTAGAGGAAAATTTTACACAGACAAATAGATATGTAAAGGAGTATATGTGTTAGGTTACGTCCCTAACAGCCTTTTTTACATGAAAACATTACAACTTAAATTTCTTCATATCCAACAGGTCACCACTTTATTTTAGCTTAAAAGAGGTGGTGGACAACACAGTCCTCATATTCTATCTGTTGCATTTACACTTATTTTTCATAGGTGACAGTCAACGTTACATAAGTGTAAAGTGTGAGCCTACAGCCGCTCACAATCACAGTTTCTGGATTGTCATATCCTTAAAACTCCTGTTTCTGTAATAATGTTAATAAAAATAACAAAGTCTTGGTCTGTGGACCATCAAAAATTTTACGTTAACTTGCCGTATAGCATTAATAACCAACTCCAGTTTAACCAAAAATGCAGCATGTAGCTAGAATAACGTTATTTCTTGAACCATGCTGAAATGTGATATTAATATTTTTAAGTTGCACACATACACCTTATTGTAATTGCACACAGTTCCCAACTTTTTTACCCTCCCAAGTCTAACATTAATGTTACCCGTATATCACTAACATGGTAGTCTCGCCACCAGACAATAAGAGATCTCTGCCTTCTGATAGTCTGGGGACACTCCTTTCAAAAGTGTATTTAACACACCGGAGAAAACGGCCGGCAACAAAACAACGCCTCTTGCATTTTTGAAAAGGACACGCTCTCCCAGAAATGTGCGCTCCCCCTTTTTTCGTCTGCAAGGAAGCAAACACACAGAGAGCTTGAAAATGGATGCTGAGAGATTTAACTCTGTTTTATCAAATGTGTGCTCAGTCCACAAGATTGTGGAAATGAAGGACTTACAGTGACTTGAGCCATTTTGTACCGCTACACGTGTTTCTAGTCGGACTATGTTTATGAATACAAGAGTTCAGCGAGCCACCGAAGGACCGCCCTGCGGATTTACTATTGGTTCTGCAACGTAGGGAGTTTTTTTAAACTCTGAAATTGTATCTGCCCATCTAAACACAAAATCAGGGAGAAAGACGTCAGTCTTTAGTTAAGCAAAGCGTCTAAAGACTGACTTGTGAATCTACTAACATGGCATAACTTTAGCTAAGTAACATGGTGAAGCTTTATTTTATAAGTTAGCTTGATAGCGAGCTAAGCTAACATGCAAGACAAACAACCATAGTTACAAAAACATGCAAACAATGACACCTGCTGATTAGTGCTAACATATAAATAAAATAATAGAATTTCACTCACCAAAAATTGAAGTACTGGTGTCTTGGGCAGTCTGTCAGTACAATGGACAGCAGGCCATATTATTTGTCCAACACATGCACAAAAAATGTCCCAAAGGCTCCAACCAGCCAGCTCCTACAACTCAAACACGGCAGAGAGCTCAAGTTCAGTGGCCGGGGACACAGCGCTGTAATCCTCAGTGGTTTCCTCCCAAGGCATTTAAATTGTCTCATAGCGCCTCCTGCTGTTGTGGAGGCCAAGACATTTGTAAGGAAATCTTCATATCATTCACGGTGGAATTTCTGTACTTGTAGAACAGATTGTTTAGTACTTGTACAAGGGGCTGCTTTGTACTCAAACAAGAGATTGTTTTAGTTCTTGTAGAAGACATTTTTTTTGTACTTATAGGATAGATTTTTTTTGTACTTGTAAGGCATGCTGTGTGATAGGTACATTTTGTATTTGCAAAACAAAATGCATTAGTTTGTTAATTATGTTTTACATTTGCAAAGCACATTGTGTTTGTTAGTGGATCATAGGGCATTTGTAAAACATGTTTTGTTTGTGTAGTTTTGGCAGGATTTTAGCGTCATAGTTATTTCATGTTATAAAAGTTACCACCTCCATTTTCATGGTTTGATTCCTCTGCTTTCCTGTTTATTATTTCTTTTATCTTTTGTGTTTTTTTTTATTAACAGACTGTCATCTAGAACTAGGGGATTCCTTGTATTCTTTTATTAATATAATTACATGTTTTACCCCAGCGCTTTGACCCTTTCCAGCCAGCAGCAGCAACATGCACATATACTTTATTGGGAATGTTACTGGTTTGGGTGAACAGCTGTATTATTATCTCTTACCAATTATGAAAACTATCACTTAGAACAGAATTCTCAAAATCTGATTTGACAGATAAGACTAAGTGGACAAACAGTAAGAAAAACAGCCTATAGCAACTAAAGGTAAGCAGCATTAACATCACGTCACATCCATGGGAAAAGAAACTTGGCCTTGGAGACAAAGTGACCTGTTGTGAGACATCTTGACAGGCAGATGAACACATGCAGACTTCAACACACCACAGATAAGAAGAAATGCTGTTTCAGCAGCCTCAACACTGCTTTTGTGTGTGTATGTGTGTGGGCATCCATCTAACATATGCTGACATGCAGTTTTAGACCAGAGCCACAACAGCTCTGTCACGGGTTGTTTGGTGTTAAGTGTGTGTATTTTTCACAGATCACAATGCAGGCTTGACAAGAACCTCAGTGTGGTTGGATTCTGTTAAATGAACAACAGTGCAACATCTGTGCTTTTATGTTTGTGTTTATGGTAGGCATATTGAAGCCGATAGATTTGAGAGAGCACAAAACAAATCCGAACACAATCTGTAAGTCAACCCCAGATTCATGAGAGCAGAATACGATTATTGCACGAGGGAGGACAGAATGGTAAGCAAGCAACAGGGCTGTCGTACTGATAGAGCTCTCACACTCATCTTTGGCACATTTTCCCTCTGCTCAAACTGACAATATGAGCAATGCGTCACCTGTTCAGTTTGACCAGGAAGTGAAGAGTCATCCTGGTAGATGCTTCCTTCTACTTTCCACAGAACAGTTGGGACAGAGGTGTTTTTTAACCACCAGATGGAAACAAAGAGCAGTACTTGGTGTCTGTATTAGCTCTACAATCAAAATACTGTACATTGACATGAAATGAAAATCACTTTCAATTTGTTGGCAAATCACAGCCCACAATAACTGAAATTGGTGGTTAAATGATAAGACATGTAGGCATAAAAAATGTAAATTGCATGTTGTCCTAAACAGTCATTCAGTATGGTCATGTGACTTGGGTGGACTTTGTGCAAGACTAAGTTGAAACCTGGCTGGAACCAATATGGTCAATATGCTACTTGTGTCCAGATTGTTACACAGTCAGTCAGTGGTTGTGTATTGTGAATTCCTAGATATCAAATGTTCATTTGGAACCTATGTAATATGTGTTCTTTCAAAGTGTGCCAAATAGCGTTGCAATGGTATAAGATTTTCAGTACCGTACCGTAACCATCTAAGAAAATATTGCGGTATCACGGTATTACAGAATTTATATTTTTATCAGTCAGAATGACCCTTGAAGGAATGAAAACAAAAGGCTTATTGTTGGTTGAACAAACACTTTATTACTATAATTGAAACTTGAAACCAATTTGTTGATGGCAGTATGTGTAAAAGTCTGCCTTTAGAAAATAACTAAAATGGGGAGATTCAATGTCAGGTTGCATTGTTTTTTCAATATCGTAGATAATCAAATGTACACGGTGTGATTACCATCAACTTTTATATCACAAAATAGTTTGAAACCTGTTTATTGCTGTAACCCTTGTACCAAATTAACAGGTCACGACACAAATTTGTATAAGCTAAAACCATTAAGTGATGATATTTTATATCCAAAAGGTCAAAAGTCACTGTGGCATCATAATATTCTGCATAAAACAGTTGACTGAACAATACTCAACACCATAATTCAGGGACAGAAGGGGAGACATTTGGTCAGATACTGAATTGGTGACACTAATCTTGGGTGTCCACCCTGAAACTGTGCTGATTGTATAGATCTGTGTGTGTGAGGAATCCATGTTTCAATGTTTTTCACACACATGGATGTCAGCTGTAAGAGACACTTGACTGGTGCCTGGAGGCATACAACCACGGGGCGGTAATTCTATTTAACGCTGTGCTGGCAATAGAGATGTAACGGTATGAACATTTCATATCACGGTTATTGTGACCAAAATTATCACAGTTATCGTTATTATCGCGGTATTGTTGAAATGTGCTCAAAATGTTCAAAAAGTACTTATACACATACTGAAATCATTTAACCAAGTTTTATTTCGAAACACAAATAACATAAATAGCAAAATATACTTTCTGTCTAACAGGAAGTCTAGCATGTTTGATTTTGTTTTTGTCGTTCACGATCACTCCCATCACAGCCGTCACTTTGACCAATAGAAACACAGAGTTAGCTGCTGCCATGCTGTAGGGCAACAACCAGCTGAGTACTGCCATTAGCATCAAGCTAGCAAACAATGTTATTTCTTCATAATGGAGGCGGACATAAAGTAAGAAAATTAAAAATTAGTGGCTTTTACTCACCACAACTGCAGAGGCTACCAGCTTCATTTGAAACAGACTACATTATAAAAGGGCTGTTATTTATCATTCCCTCTGTATCTTGATATTTTTATCCGCTTTTTTTAATCCGCTCCCGTTGGCTTCATAATGCATCGTGCCATCATTTCAAACTCAGTACTTCCTGTATTTGTTTCAAATTAAAAGCCCCTTATAACCTCGGCTGAAAGAATCCCTCCATTTTCTAAATAGGCTTTTATTGTGAAACGTGTAGGAACTTGTTGTGGAGGATTCGGTGACTTGTATGTTTACATATGGCACTTCAAATGTAGCTCCTGCCATCTGCTGGCGTTTTTTAGGTGACCACAACAACATTTTGGCTGGCACATGAACAGACACAGTGACTGAAATAATAGTAAAAGTAATAAAAATAGGACAAGAATAACCACATCGTGAAAGACGACCGGGGATAATTGGTGTGTACCATCGTGTAGGGTGTTGTGTCTGTCGGCCAAGTCACCGCAGGATTTTACTTTTTACTTTTTTTGACTCTGTAATCGTGTAATGTGACAGTGACTTTAAGAACGGGCAGAAAAGTTGTGTAGTGTGTACCAGGCACAGGTACACTCGCTGTATAGTTGTGGGTGGTGGTCACGGAAATGGCTTATCAAATTTAGTGTTACCCCCCTTGGCGGAGACTTTTTTTCTGCATTTTCTGCAGACAGGGTGACTATCTTCAATTAGTTTCCCCTCAGCATCCTTATAAAATCCAAAATATGTCCAGACTTCAGACTTTGTCCTTTAAGACGGGGAAAAAATCTCCGGAGCACTGTCCTTGCGGGTGCCTTCAGTGCCTTCCATCATGTTTTCAGAGGCCAAACATTGCAAACTGTGCATGCCTGTCTGAGGGACTACTGCTGCTGCTTTTCCAGGCAATAGCAGTATCACCGTGAGTTTTTCAAAGTGCGGTAATCAAACATGGTTTTAATGATTATTAAAATTTGAAACGGTAATACTAACCATCAGGAATTTTTCCGCGGTTCATCATTTTACCGGTAATCGTTACATCCCTAGCTGGCAATAGATGTAAAATAAATATTTAAGTTACCTGCTACTTTTTCAGATATAACTGTGCCTCCTACATCCAGGTTAAGGCTGTGTGTTTTTACTGTACCCTGACTGTTTCATAGTTTCCGCAAGTTATTCTTATTCTCTGCTATCTTCTCACTGAAGCATTCTGTCTTGGCTTTCTTAATTATTTAAAGCAAAAGAATACTCTATTTCCACATTAACTGCTGGTGACGACCACTCACACAGCCTAGAAAACAGTCAGGTCAAACATCAGGTTCACATACATTAATAATAACAGCTTGAAATTTTGATACGTCTTTGGTTGCACAAAGTAGTGCAGTACAATAAATACCACACACGAATGTGCTGTCTTTATCTTGCTCTTTTGTAGCTTAGTTGTAGAGTCTGTTACAAAGAAATGTAATTTAAACACCAATTATATTTAACAAAGTTCCTATTGTTGACAGATAGCTTAAGCCCTAACAGCCCTTTATTTACAAGAATCTGTGACCATGTGGTGTCATTAAAAGTAAAAATTGAGATGAATGACACTGAGCAAGGAACTTGTGTAAACGGTGCCCAGACAGCAGCATATCAGATGAACGTTCAGCCTTCTTGAAAACAGACCAAAAGTCAGTGTATCAGTGCCCATGTTTGCTGGACTTGGTGTGGAAAAACTGATGTTTCTCTTTCTAAATGATTTACTCAAATCTACTCCACCTCCTGAACATGTCAAAATGTCAAATCATTTCAAATCCAAGCTGAAACAATATTAAACTGCAACTGAAGTAGGATTTTCAAATCAGCACAGTCTTTACAATCAGCACAGTTTCAAGGTGGACACTCAAGATGTCACCAGTTCAGTATCTGACCAAATACAGTCAGGTCCATAATTATTTGGACAATGATACAGTTGTCATCATTTTGGCTCTGTACACCACCACAATGGGTTTTAAATGAAACAATGAATACCTGCTTAAAGTGCAGACTCTCAGCTTTCATTTAAGGCTTTTTTCAAAAATGTAGTATGAACCGTGTAGGAATTACAACCATTTCTTCACACAGTCCCCCAACTTTAAGGGCTCATAAGTATTTGGACAAATTAACATAATCATCAATTAAACAGTCAGTTTTAATACTTGGTTGCAAATCCTTTGCAGTCAATGACTGCCTGAAGTGTTGGACACATAGACATCACCAGATGCTGGGCTTCTTCCCTGGTGAAGCTCTACCAGCTCTTTACTGTAGCTGTCTGCACTTCCTGCTTGTGTTTTGGGTGTTTTGCCCTCAGTTTTGGCTTCAGCAAGAGAAACGCATGCTCAATTGGATTCAGATCAGATGATATGACTTGACCATTACAGAACATTCATTTTCTTTGTCTTAAAAATGTCTTTGGTCGCTTTTGCAGTATGCTTTAGGTCAATGTCCATCTGCACTGTGAAGCATCGTCCAATGAGTTTTGAAGCATTTGGTTGAATCTGAGCAGATAATGTAGCCCCAAACACTTCAGCTTTCATCCTGCTGCTCTTGTCAGCAGTCACATCATCAATAAATACAAGAGAACCAGTTCCACTGGCAGCCATACATGGCCATGACATAACAGTACCTCCACCATGCTTCACTGATGAGGTGGTGTGCTTTGGATCATGAGCAGTTCCTTCCCTTCTTCCTTCTCTTCTCTTCCCATCATTCTGGTAGTTGATCTTTGTTTTATCTGTCCATAGTATGCTGTTCCACAACTGTACAGGCTTTTTAGATGGTTTTTGACAAACTCTAATCTGGCCTTCCATTTTCAAGGCTAACCAATGGTTTACATCTTGTGATAAACCCTCTGTATTTATTCTAGTGAAGTCTTCTCTTGCTGACAAGAGCAGCAGGATGAAAGCTTAAGTGTTTGGGGCTACATTATCTGCTCAGATTCAACCAAATGCTTCAAAACTCATTGGACGATGCTTCACAGTGCAGATGGACATTGACCTGAAGCATACTGCAAAAGCAACCAAAGACATTTTTAAGACAAAAAAAAGGAATGTTCTGTGATGGTCAAGTCATATCATCTGATCTGAATCCAACTGAGCATGCGTTTCTCTTGCTGAAGCCAAAACTGAGGGCAAAACACCCAAAACACAAGCAGGAAGTGCTGACGGCTGCAGTAAAGGGCTGGCAGAGCATCACAAGGGAAGAAGCCCAGCATCTGGTGATGTCTATGTGTCCAACACTTCAGGCAGTCATTGACTGCAAAGGATTTGCAACCAAGTATTAAAACTGACTGTTTAATTGATGATTATGTTAATTTGTCCAAATACTTATGAGCCCTTAAAGTTGGGGGACTGTGTGAAGAAATGGTTGTAATTCCTACACGGTTCATACTACATTTTTGAAAAAAGCCTTAAATGAAAGCTGAGAGTCTGCACTTTAAG